CTTTCCCTTTCCAGGTCTTCTACCCGAGTAAGGACGGAACCAAGATACCGATGTTCATTGTAGCCAAAAAGGGAATCGAGCTTGATGGATCACACCCATGTTTGCTCTATGCCTATGGCGGGTTTAACATAAGCATAACGCCGTTCTTCAGTGTCAGCCGTATCGTTCTCAGTAGACATCTCGGCACTGTTTTCTGCTTTGCGAATCTCCGTGGTGGAGGAGAATATGGTGAGGAATGGCACAAAGCAGGTGCACTTGCCAAGAAACAGACTTGCTTTGATGACTTCATTTCCGGGGCAGAGTACCTTGTAACAGCAGGTTATACGCAACCGGGAAAATTGTGCATCGAAGGTGGCAGCAATGGCGGACTTCTGATCGGAGCTTGCATTAATCAGGTAGACTACAGATGACAGCTTATGAATCACAAGTGTAATTTCATTTAGTTGGGATGTATTTATGTACAAAAACTTACTTTTTTTGGACAGAGACCAGATCTTTTTGGCTGTGCTCTGGCTCATGTTGGCGTCATGGACATGCTTCGGTTTCACAAGTTTACCATAGGTGAGTTCAATCTTTGTCGCTCTTCTTTCCTCTTATGTTTGCGCTGATAGTTTTGCGGATGGAGACCATAAGTAAGCCAAATCCTGTTGTTGTCCACAACAGGTCATGCGTGGACTTCTGAATATGGCTGCTCCGACAAGGAAGATGAGTTTCATTGGCTGATCAAGTAAGTCTCTATTTCTCACACTCAGAACTAGGGCTGAGCACAGGTTGGTCACTTTCAGATTCCGAGGTTTCGAACCGTCTCCATATCCATGTTATTCGGTACCCAAAACTCGGGTATCTATAGAGTTCCAGATATTTGGATACTAGCGGGTTACGTGGTCAGGTTTTGCTCTATGTTACGCACAAGGTTGTGCGAGTATCCGTGGGTTTGGGTTATCACCATCTAATACCTGAACTCAAACCCGAAAGTTTGGTGTCTCGCCATTGCTATACCGTAGTTCCATCGGAGGATGAGTACCCAATTTTGCGGGTCCAGTCATACTACAAAAAATCTTATTCGTGTATGCTTATTCTAGTAGTTTCTAAATCCGTGTGGTATTATGTTGTAAAAAAGGTACTCACCTCTGCACAATGTGAAGAGGCCATGGGAGGAGCAGAGAACGGACAGCCGCTTGGTTCAGTACCCACCCACCATGTTGCTGACAGCAGACCACGATGACAGAGTCGTTCCCCTCCACTCCCTGAAATTTCTAGCGGTTCGTCTTTCTCCGTTACTTTCTCATCCCCTCTCTCCCTCTGCTTCCGATACATTGTTCAAACAAGGTATCGTTTCCGTGTGGTTTGCAGACTATGCAGTATGAGCTGTGCATGAGCTTAGACGAGAGCCCTCAGACGAACCCGATAGTCGGCAGAATAGAAGTTAAAGCCGGGCATGGAGCAGGACGGTCCACTCAAAAGATGGTAAAAAAATACTTCCTTGGTTGTCATAAGAATGATGAGTTTGGATAGTGTCGATAATAATGTAATATAATGACTAACCTTTGTGGGGTGGTGGAACAGATAGAGGAGGCGGCTGATAGGTACGCTTTTATGGCCAAGACGCTTGGTGCTTCATGGATCGACTGAATCCTTACTCGTATGGATGGATGGGCGACTTCTGACACATCTGTTTTATTTGGGCTCTGTAGAGCTTTATTATAATTTATCATCGACTATCTAATAAACGATAACCGAGTATAGCAGACAAGTTGTGAAACAAGGTTTTCCACAGATTTCGGCTTCTTCCGCATTCTAGTTTATTGGCCTCTTGCTCAAATAAAGTAAAAAAGCTTCCTCCTCGTTTCGGTAGATTCCCACTGGAAAGAGAGGAGGATATAAGAACAGGTAAATCAAACTGTGAACAATAATAATACATCCTAATGTTTCATATGAACGCAGACCAAAAATTTGATCGGGACTTTCTCCCAGCTTCAAAACTCAAAATCACACAACCCGGCTGCGGTTTTCTCAAGGGGGAAGACTGGAATTTGCCTACCTTTTGACAGAATCATCTCGTTGATTCTCGCCTCTATTCAGTCATCAAGGAAATCCATTTTGACGTCTGTGACATCAAGCTGCAGTATCTCAACCCTGCATCCTAAAATCGATCCGATGCTGCAAGTGATGAAACAACCCGTTTAGTAAAGACGGCTTATCGTTCTTTTGTTTCTTCACATTTAATAGACTTTTGTTCGCACATATGTTAATCCCTGCATAGTCACAGTTCTTATACCTGGGACTGGTCCGACCCAAATCTCCATGAACGAATTCCTTGATGTATGTCCCAGCCTACATTTTATAAACAGATTCTGCAGTTACCAATCATCGTCTATTGAGTACAACAACATCGGGAAACAAGATTCGGTACCTGGGTGCACAGATGCAAGAGAAAATACTGACAATTCCCTTCTATCTTCTCGATATTCATCCTGAAGATTGGAACGAGGAAAACAATCTTTAGTAAAAACTAAGGCGAAGCATTATCATGGAACAACGATTAAAAATCGGATGAGTGGAAACAACAGAGGCCATATCACTGACCAGTGTATAATCTTTTCTCGGTCCAATGGACTTCGTCGGTGAAGCACCCGTACTGGAGTTCTCTGCAAGATTTTCTGCAACAAAGAATGGAGGCGTCAATGGCTTGAGACCTTTCTCAGCAGAGCAGCCAAAAGAGAAGTTTCCGATACTAGAAAAAAATATGATAATTGTTGTTTATCATGGTGGGAGCGATTGAGAAATGAAATACAAGTATTAAAATGGAATTACTTGTTAAATATCCAAGTCTAAGATTCACCTAGTATGGCTAGAGTTATGAAAATATCATGGGATTCCCCAATCCCGGTTATACCGTTTATAACCTGAAGGTTATACTTCAACAGAAGACTATTAAAAATACCCAGAAGCACACACCGTCAAAACAGTAAATCAGGACCAAATGACGCACCAATTCTTTTAGAGAAGAAATGGACTCCAAGTCTTTATCTTCGAGTGGACGAGAAATCCACACAAGCGCAGCATATTGCTTCTGCAAGACATATGAAAATAAATCTTTGTTACTTTTCTTTTCCTAAAGCTTTATTTACGTCAAGCTGAAAATAGTTCAACAGATGAGACCGACCCTCTTCTCTCCTTCTCCTTCGCGCATAAGGTTCCAACAATGATTTTCCAAAAGCGTTAGGTTTCTTACCCCCACCTGCAGCAAGAATGGTGTTTCTAAGCTCCAAATTACGCAGAGAATCAAACAGACTGTTACAGCTGAGCGTGATCAGTTTGCACTCACTAGTTTGTTTTCCAAGTTGTTCATCTTAGCTTCGATTTCCTTCAGCAAATCCACTGATGGGAATCGGCGGGGATTCTGAATCTCAAGCAAGAAAGGTCTGCCTGAACCTAACATCCGAACCTGAAAACAGTTCTTTCATACTATCAGGGTAAACTTAGCGAGTTTAAACATGAAAACAAGAAAGGGACACTTTATTACATCAATATCTTCTCTACCAGCTGCGTGGAATTTGTAGTTATCACCAAAGCATGCTGGAAGAATGTTGCTCCCAATTATCTCCTGAAGAGGTAAGAAAAACTTTTGGACTCACTGATCTTCTTTAGTTATAAAATGAGAATGTCGAGATAACCAGCACGAGACTACCTCAACGGAGGCTTCACCCATCCTTTCATCATCAATAATCCATCGTGTCTGACTCACGTTTCTTGAGAACTGCAAAAAAAAAAAGGGAATCTTCAAACTGGCGCTGGAGTAAAATCTGTTACCCTATCACTGCAGCACACAACATTTTCCCATTACAATGCAAATGTTACAAGGAGTCATTTTTCTCGAGTATCTATAATATGTCGATGAATCTACATCATAATGGTTTGCAAAAGTCCAGTAAAGTGGAATATACACAGTTCAGGATGGGATGTGCACACATGGACACTTAAATTCCCCACTTCAAAATGATCATTGATATAACAATTCACTATATCGCACAACCACAATAACCAATAACTTACTTTGAGGTATCTCCCACCAAAGTAGATAGGCATTTTGTGGAAAAGCACTTCCAAGCTGCATGGTTTGTAAACCTGGACAGGTAGAAAACCCAAAAGCTGTTGACGTATGAGTGCATCCAAGCAGGCAAACGATTGAAACATAAGATGGTCAACCACAGAACAACATGAGCTTATCCAGGATATATGTGTACAGTGCTTCAAAATAATGACGTAATACAGAAGCTGTAGGACGAACATGCAAACATTTACCTTTTTCAGTGAATTCTGCAACATACAGTTTGATCCATTTTCTTTGTCTGCGCCACAGGAAATATCATGGCAATCATTTTTCATATCCAAAAACAAAGCTCAGGAAATAATAGCAATCAGAACAATTTGCAATTTGGTTAAGAGGCATTTGTCATCTGATTAAAAGGGCCACGAACAAGATAAACTACAGAAATGAGGGAAAGTTCAAGTAATGATGCATGCACCCTACAAGTCAAATATCAATTGAAACCCATTATCTCCCCGAACCCTTTAGCAAATTTAAAATATGTCGAGTTCAAAGAAATCAAACAAGTATCCGGCCTCTGTAAACACACCTGTTCTCCTCCTCTTTTGCTCACCCTTTGTTTCAGCAGCACTATCAACCTCATTTGGTGAGTTGGTGTATGTCAAACGTATGCGGAAAGGGCTTGAATCTGATTTAGCATCCTGAAAAACTTCAATTTTATGATGACAGTTGAAGGTAACCCCACTTTTTTCAACATATTTTTACTCTCGAAATTCTCTCTGCATGTCCGCTATTCCCTCTTGAAATTGTATCTTCTTCCCATAGTGGTGGAAGATTCAAACATCCATTATGTATGATAGCAAACAACAGTACCACAGGAGGAAAAAGGAACAAGCCAACAACGTCGCTGACATAAATCTATACAAGCGAATTTGAACTCACCAGTGAATTCTTCAGGAGATCTAAAATCAGATTTTTCAAGGCATCCTTTACTGAAGTTCTTTCAGTATCCAGCCAAACTTCAGATTCATACTTTCCTTTCAGGTATGACCTACAATGATGAAATGCAGCAAAATGTAATGCTGAAAAAAGAGTGAAACTTTGCAAACCTGAAGTATGTCTTGGCATTGCACTGAATCAGAAAGGGCATGGCTTTGTAGCAAAACAGCAATATATTTAAGTTTCAGACGTTGATGAACGCAAAGCTTACATGACTGCAGATTCATTCTCAGTGATAACCGACGGCACAGAGACTTCGAGACCAAAGCTATCGAACTCATGATGACTCTGCTTCACAAATTCCGCTATCCTCGTAGCAAAATCACTATTACTCTCCATTTTCACCACTGTCTGTTTGTCGTCGGAATAAATGAACTGCAAAACGCCTAAGCAAACAATACAGACGCCAGAGTGGTCAGACTCCGACGGGACACTCGTGTCGCCATCAACTGCATTCCGACTCCGGAGAGTCGACGTCGAGACCGAAGAAAAAACCGAATCGAAACCTCGGATTGCTACCAATCGGAAGATGCATCTCTCGCATACCTAACATAGCAATACCACATCGAATCACTCGGAAAATTTCAAAAGCAAACCCTAAGAATCATGCACAAACGAAGCATCAAACCCTAAGAATCACTGAGAAGAAGAGCAAAGAGCACGAACGCCGAGAGAAAGGAGGTCCTTCACGACGTCGGAGTGAATAGATTGAGCTGCTTCGTGCCCTCGCGAATCCCCGTTGTCACCGGGTCCGGGGACGCCGCCGGTGACGGTGGATGCGGCGGCGGCGCATGAAGCATCTGTAACTTCTGACATTTTCTGAAACTCAAGGAACGATGTCGTTTTACCGATGAGTTGCGCCTGCAGGACTTGGAGTGCATCAAGATATTTGAATAAGTACATGTATATTATGTACATATTAAAATAGTGAACTTATGATTAATTAATATTATTTATTTTCTTTTTCCAATTATTCTTCCGTTAAAATAAAGACATGTTCGTTCTTTTTCAGTTAAAAAAAAAATGGAACAACATTTGCGTTGGGACCAATCTATCGCCAACTGGATAAACATGTTAACATTTGCAAAGCGCAAACGCTAATAACCACAAACGCTGACAAAAAAAACAATCGCAAACGCAAACGCAAACGCAAAATGAGTTCGATATCCAAAGTTTTACTGATTCTGTATACAATAAGAACATTAAGAGATGTCCTTATTATTATTTTGTAAATCCAGTTTGATATTCTCATATTGTAAATAGCCAACACACAAGATATATCTTATAGTGATGAAGCTAAACCACGAATATCTACGTAACCAGACAACACCGCACGGTCTCTTTCCTTCACTTTTGTCTGAAATATAACCCTGCACATATATACAATGAACAATCATTAGATCCGATCCAATTTAAAACAGACAGGTCTCTTCGGCTCATACGTTTGTTTTCCGAAAGAACATAACAGAAAACAGCGTTTATCTTACCTCAACCCGTCGAGCCACATTTCAGTGATAAGAGTTTCGCCAGGGAAAACGTGCAAGAGGAACCTGCCGGATATGGTTTTGAGGGCGAATGCATCGCCCTTGCAAATGCATTTGATGACTGCCCTGACTGCAAAGCCGAGTGTGCATAACCCGTGTAATATCGGGCGTTGGAATCTGAATCATGTTTGGTCAGAACAAGATTAGTTACTCCATTATTATCAGGAAAAAAAAAAGGTGATCGGTCATGACAGAGAGAAATCGTATCAAAACAATGTTAGTGTAAGTAAACGATTACCCGGCAAGTTTTGCAAGTTCTGGATCTGAATGCAAGGGATTATAATCACCAGAGAGCCTATATAGCAATGCCTGCCGATGAAATCACAGCAAAGCAGCAGCCGTGAAAATGAAAATGTATTACTAAATATCCTCGAATAATAATTAGAGTCAAATTCTCGAATCCAGCAAACAAATTTATGTATCATGAACATGCCTGTGATGGTTGGGTACGTTCCTCGTGCACAGCAAAAGGCTGACTCTTGGGGATTTTCACAGTCGAAACCTGGTTACTTGGATAGTTTTTATAAGAAAACGGTTGTGATGAATTCGAGAATCCACCAGCACCTCGCAAAAACGCAGTTGTCCTGCGGAATTATTCACAGTTCAATTAAGTTCATTCACGAGGTTCCGAGCTCAAATTTAAATTTTCTTCATAACCATTTATTTTACCTATTCATGCACAACAATTCACCAGATTCTTCATTGTAGCTTTTGGTTTCCACCTCAAGAATCGCTGCTTTACCTGGAAAATTATCGGGGCAGAATAAATCAAATATCTAATGCATTCTCTTCCATTACGGTCAGTGCTAGATGCAGAATATAGAAGATAAAATGGCATTATGAGAAAGGGAACAGTGGCAGTGGAGAATGGAATGGCTAATGAATAAAGCGAGATGGGTTTAGATACAATTATATGTACCTTTGTCCTGCAATCCAGCCAGACCAACTTTGTTTATTAACTGCAAAATAAACAGAAACAACGGCATATTTAGAAATGGATTGCTGAAGATTTCTCAAGGAAAATTCTATAATGGATTCCCCTGAGTGATTAAAAAACCTATGCCGAGTTACTTACAGAAGCACTGGAAGGAAACGGCTTGTATATTTCTATGTATTGCTGTCCATGTAACAGGAGGCGAGGATCATATCTGCAAACACGAAACAGGCATAATGATAACACCATGATTATAAACTCGGACAGTTCAAACCTTAGAAGCAGGTCGGATGAAATTCTATCAGACCAAATGCAAGGCAGTGTTCCCAAAATTCACAAACCTATATAATATAATACCTTCCACTATAAAGAAATCCGACTGCACAAAGCATTTGTAACCAAGTATACACAGCAAGATGATGGTCGCAGTTTCATTTTTCATGTTTTTTTCTTTCCTTCGATTCAAAGAGTATCAAGGCCTTTACGACAACAAAGTCCCCGGGTCTAGTATATCCATGTGACTCAGCGACTGCCTAAACACCGACGAGCATCGAACAAGTCATCTACTAGAGCAGGTGCTCTGGATGAAACCAATCGAGCCAAATTCGTAGGATATGATCATTCTTTAAGGTGCTCATATCAATTTGCCTCTGAGATAACAAATAACCAAAAAAGAGTACAGTGCTTACTGAAAACTTGGCAAGTTCAGACCTTTGGTCAGAGATCCAAGTGAAAACAGAGCAGAAAAAGTCGGCAGGACCTGAACACAGGACACGACAAGGGATATCAAAAACACTCGAAAGCATAATCCGGACAAAACTAAACCCAGCTCAGTTATCAGATACCTGGACAAACTGTTGTCCATTTTCATGGTATACGAACTTCAGCTCATCCGAATCAACAGCATCACTTCCACACGCACCAACTCCCAAAGCATAGATTGCTACATCTCTGTTTCCACAGGCAGAACAAGTTGTTCATACAAGAGGAAATTTCATTAACTGTAACCCAGCAGCGAAACAATGAAGAAATTAACAATTTTTTTCCTTCACTTTCCATCATCTTAACATCAATTACGCAAATTCATACACCATAGATTCCTAACAAAGGAAGAAAAAACAAAGAAACCCCATATCCACATATGCACAGACACGAATATAAACGCGATAGAGAAGATGCAAACCTTTCGTTGTAAGTATATCTGGTCTGCGAAGAAGAAGAAAAAACAGAAATAGCGATTAAAGGGAGAGATTGCAGATATGTCCTTCTCGATCACGAAAAGATATGATCGGTGGAACAAATCGAGAACGAAAACGACGACGAAGAAGAAGAGAAGAAAACCTCGGGGAATTTGTGAGCGAGGGCTAGGTCAGGATTGAATCCAGAATCACGATTCGCCATTTTCCTTACACGACCAACGCAAAGCTGCAACTCCTTTGATATGCTGATTTTTCTTTTGGATTATAGTATAGATGGTCACTACAACGAAACGCAGCGTTTTTTGCGTCGACTTATCCAAATGATTTGGACCGAATTTTGAGGCATTTTAAAGAGAGTTTTAAATTATTTTCAAAATTAATAACAAGGGCATTTGGTCTAGTGGTATGATTCTCGCTTTGGGTGCGAGAGGTCCCGAGTTCGATTCTCGGAATGCCCCTTTTAACTTAGAAATTTTTTTTTGAACTTTGATTGCTAACAGTGTATTAGATCAAACGACCCAAACGTTATGTATCGTACTTCTTAAAGGACAAATTATTCTGCTATCATTCATATGAACCAGCTCTCTCAGGGCAGCGGTCTGGTGTGTCGTCCGCTCGCCCGCCCGCAAAGAAGAGAGTTTTTCGGGATCGGATATTCGTCTCTTGGCGAAGTCGAGTTTGTGTGGACGCGCAAGTAAAACTGCTGTCCCAAGTATTGCCTTTCCCAGTCCTCCGATCTCACGTTCCACATCCCTACGTTATCCAAAGCTACGTAGATCGCCGTCCACGACTTCCGATACACCTGCGTTCTCGGGGGGCAAACCCGAATCCGTTAAATGGCTTTATAGGGCTATCTTTTTGGCACGGTATAATGATAAATTTCGATTGTGTTGAAGGATCTCTCACCTGAACAGTGCAGCGTGAAACTGCGTCGTGGAGGTTGTACTCGTTTCTACTTTCGGGTGTCCACTCTCCACCGTCCATACTGTGTCGAACGAGAATTTCGAGAGAAAATAAATCGGTTACAACGATGACAATTTTCGGGTTCGAGAGTTGGTTATGGGAATACGTGGAAAGATACTTACCCAACGACGAAGAAAGAGTAACCGTTGAGGTGCCAGCTTTGGACGATATCTTCGGGGTTCTCGAACACGATTTCCACAAAGGCTCTGTAATCAGCCTGCATGACAGATGCATCCTGGTAGATTTCTCCGCCCGTGGGATGGTCAGATATGCTTCCAACCCGAAAAACGCCGTCGATCTTGTAGTAGTCTGCGAGTTTCAACGGGGTATCGGCGGGGATAAATGATATGCTATTCACAGCGTATCTTAGCTTGCCATTGACCTGTCCAGCTGAGCTAGCAAGTCTGATCGTTCTAGTCGTGTTTATCTTTCCGTAGTGGTACGTTCCCTGCGGATTTGGCCTTGGTCCGCTGGCCGTAAGATTAGTCCTGCAACCACCAAGCAAAACAACTTAGATGAGAATAGGTGAAACGGATAAACTTGTTCAAATCAGGACATGATCAACGAGAAGATAAACCCGAAAAACCCAATTGATATTAGCAAAACCAATCAAATCAAACTTGAAAGCTACTGAAACGAAAATATTAAGGGATATCCACAAGGCTTTCTGTAACTTTAGTGAGAGGCGAATGGCCAGAATAATAATTACTTGGGACAGAGCCCACGAGGGAAAGGTTACCTAATTGCTCGAGCCTGGTTCAAGGACCAGTTGATTTGGTCAGTTGGACCACCGGGAATAGGTCCAGAGACAGGTCCGGCGGAATTATTGTAACGGAGAACTCCGGTGGTGGTGAGATTTTCAGAGGTAAACTGAGAAGAGACCACGATGTAATAATCCCGAGCAGGCTGATCTGCTGTTATGAGGACCGAGTAAGATTGACCAACATGAACATCAAGCGACGAGAATGTCGTCTGGAGGGTATGTGTCCCTTCTACCTCGACAACCTTCATCGTGTGGCCTTGGATTTGGAAGTTGAGGGAAGTCTGTAATCCCACATTGGATATTCTCAGCCTGAATGTCTTCCCTGCAAGAACTCGCAATCCTAAGTTATCCGTAAACATTTAGACTGAGACGAGAGAAAAGAAAGAGCACCTTGTTCAACATTGATGGTGGCACCGCTTCCACGGCCATTGATGAGAATTCCATCGGGCAAAGGAAGCTTCTTGCCATTATCAAGTTGTGCCTTCAAGTCCTACAGAACAGTGTAAAAGCATAGACAATTCAAATCTCCGAGCAAAAAATTGCCATCATCCTTATCATTCAGGATGTGTACATTTGATTTCGATCTCCATTGTCAAGACAAAAAAAATACAAGTATGAATGTGGTTTTCAACTGTGCACCGAGTTTACCTCAAATTCCCTTTACACAAACTATCATATCTCCCTAAATCCCCAATTCAACCACCAAATTACAAGGAGCAACAATTTCGGCAGCCTGGAATCGCGATTCACAATAAATCGCGATCCCAAACGCAATCCACACTCTACATCCGCACGAATCTCAACATATACAGATCTGAATGCAGAGAGAAGAGAATGAAGCAATTGGATATATTATACCGTGTGGTTGGATTTATACCAGTCGCCGATGAGGACGGTGTAATCGCCGGCGGGATCAGGGAAAGGGACGGGGATCTTGGGGCGGCTGAGGATTCGGATGCCACCGAATCCGCCGGCGGCTTTGTGGAATCCGAGAGAGGGGAAGTAGTAGAAGCTTCCGATCTGATCCTTCACCTGCAGAGCGTACGTGTAGTTCTTCCCCGGAGGAATCGGGCATGTTGTTCCGTACACTCCGTCCACGAACGAGTTCCTCCTCTGTTGTATACCGCTCCTGTTTTTTATTTATTTATTTTAAATATTTAATGCGGTTAATCGAATATTACTTTTCCAAATAAAAATTAATCATAATTCAAACCAAAAATCTAAAACAAATAAATTATTTTTATTAATTTTTAAAAATTATACTTATTCAGTTGGATTTGTTTTTATTCTCGGATTATTCAATATTTATTTTTTAAACAAAAATAATCCAAGGAAAACCGTGTGATAACGGTAATAACAGTGTTGATATTTACATCACTACCATGCAAGAACATACCATTTCTTACAAAATATCCACCAAAAGAACGTATGTTAATTTGACTTTCATCGTCGAATAAATCATATATTACCGCGGAGTTAGCGGCTTAAATCCCATTTTCTAATTAAATTAAATTCGAATAATACCCAAAAAAAATTAAAAAATTAAATAATATAACCAAAGAAGAGGTACCATGAAATAAGGAAAGGCTCGTCGAGGCTATTGAAAACGTTAATGATGAGATTGTCATTCGTAACCGAGCGAACGTCCGGCCCCGGAAACTGCCCGTTTATCAATATACCCTGCCCGGAAGGGGGAAAAACGATTAAACCGGATCTAACCAATGAGAACCGGAATTAACCGAATCGGAATCTGTTATTTCATCCGTACGTACCTGTTGACGGACGCCGAGGGGATAAATATCGCCGTAAGTGACGTTCCAAGTGAAGAATCTGTACGGATCCTCCGCCGTGACGGCGAAGACGAGCGAGATTCCGGCTATCAATGCCGCGGCTAATGAGGCATTAACGGCCATTTTTTCCGGCAATGGAATCTGAAATCTCTCTCTCTCTCTCTCTCTCTCTGTGAACAAATCGAAGAAGGAGAAGGAGAAGGAAATTGTCCGTACAGTGGCGGTAGAATGATGGAGAGAGAGAGACCCTTAAAAGAGAGAAAAATTGGAAAAAAAAAAAAGAGGAAGAATAAAAGTCAGCGTCGGTCAAAGCAAGATTGTGAATTTTAGGACAGTGTGGATTTTGTCTCCCTGAAGGGTTTGGCAACATGATCCATTTTTGGGTTGTTTATGACAATTACTTAATTTGATCCAAACGAAATCACTGGTTTAGTGACTTTGGTATATACAAAATGAATTTTTTTGTTATTTTCCTAAATGATTGATTTTATTGTTATAGTATTATATATATATATATATATATATATATATTGGAACTCCTTCAAGCAATTGTAACAACGGGCCTTCTTATAGTATTGAATATTACATTTATTGTAAACTAATTAATGCGGGACATTGATAAGCATTAAATAGTTTTGAATCCAAATTTCAATTTGTTATATTTAACTGGTGATGATATTTCAAATAAAATATTTCGATATAAACTTCACATACCTATCGATTAAGTTAATAAAATAGAATAATATGACAGAACAAAGAAGAAGGAAAAACAAATAAAGCAGGACTTGAAATGTTTGAAATGTAAAAATGTGTATATGCCAATATATTCATCTTTAATAATTAAAAAAACGGAATATTATATTTATTATTCCTCTTTTTTTTTTTTGGTTGGGTCGTATGCTTTAGTTATCTTAATCAAGGGGGAAAGGCCGAAAGCAAGTATTAATGGGACCTAAATTTGTACTTTTGTAGTAAATGAAGAAGAACATATGTCACGTAAAAATGCGGCATGCTTGTTGCCATTACCTGCTTTGGCGGCATTATTAGAATAGAGCTTTATAAATATTTATTTATTTTTTTAATATCAAGGGGTGAAAATTTTCAAAATTCATGAAAACTCGAAATTTCAGGGTTTAAGTTTCAGGTCCGACCCTCACGTTTTCTTCTATCTTCGCTTCGGATTCTTCCACCTCGCCGGAGATTATAACTCCGACGGCCGGAGATCTGGTCGAAATGATTCCGGCGACAGGGAGTCCGGACCATAGTATTGGGCTTCTTTATTAATATACACTTAATGGGCCTTATTGGGCTTTAATTGAATGCTCCCTAACCTAAACGATATATAAAAAAAACTATAAATAAAATAAAATATAATTACTAAATTATGGGATGGAATAGTTATTTGTAGGCTACACATACGAAAAAGTTGGATATTGGATGTTTGGAGGTATTCCATTATTGAATTTGAATAGATCGAACTATAAAACTAGAAATTTAATTGTAAGTTTGAAAGTATTGAATATCTGAATTTTGGATGTGTATATGTGTATATATCTATTTTGCGAATAATTAGATATTCTGTGTATAGAACGAAATAAGATCAAAGCAAAAGGCAAGCGAAGCGAGGTATAGACAACACGATTCACACGACATACACTTAATATTATGAATACGCCAAGATTTTTTTTTAAAAAAATATTTTAATAATATTCGAGATATTAAAAAAAAATCAAATTTAATCCGACGACTGGATAATCAATTTCCTCGATCTGATTTTCCTAGAATCCCAATTTTCAAATAACCAACTTGGGAATTTTCGCATTTCTTATAAATACTAATTTATAATTTAAGTAAAAGCGTACATACAAACCGACATACATCAATATGGTGTATGTGAGGTTATACACCAATACACAGACATTATACAGACGAATACACAAAAATACATGACCGACAAACAAAGGATCATCATCATCACATTCATCACATAAAGCAAAGCATGGTTGAAATCTCATCATTCTTCTTCGCATCTTTAATCGGACTCCTTTTCCTTCTTCTCCTCTTCTCCACTCTTTGTGTGGTACCCAGGAAGTTTCTCCTTTATCTTCTCCAGAATCCCCTTCTTCTCCGCCGGATTCTGCGGTGGCGCCGTCTCCTCGGCGGCTGAGGCCTCCTCCGGCGTCTTGGCTTGACCAGGCAGCTTTTCCTTTATCTTCTCCATGAACCCTTTCTCCTCTCCTTCAGTCTTCTTCTTATCCTTCTTCTTCTTCCTCTTCTCCCCATTTTCGCCCTCTTCCTCGCTCGACTGCCGAATTAGAAAACATTGGCACAGTATTTCCTCAGATCATCCAGGATCAAGTAGTATCATATGATCAGACTATAATCATCTCAGAAACAAAGAATATCGAACTGAATCTTGTCTTATAGGCGTATCCAATAGCGAAATCGTTCGACGATCAATTTTATCCAAACTCCGGAAGAATCTACAAATAAAACTTACGGAGCTGGAAGAGCTACTGGTCCGGTGAAGCTTCTCGAGGAGACTAGGCTTCTTCTCCTCCTCCTCCTCGTGCTTCTTCTCCGGCACCGGCTCCGACACCTGAACCTTGTGATCGAATTCCGTCGCGATCGACTCTTCGGGTTTCGCTTCATCCTTCTTCCCCATGAAATCGAACAATCCCCGATCCTTGACCTCTGCCGTCTCCGATGACTCATCCGTCGCTACTCTTGGCGCTTCCTGCTCAGTCACGTTCTTCACTTCCTCAGCCATGGTGATGCGTAAGGATTGATCGAAAAAAAAAAGGAAGAAGAAGTTAAAGTTCTAATTGAAGTCTATCTGAGAAACTTCGGATTTCTATTGATTCTTCTTCTTGGGTGATTGATGATACTGGCACTGAGATGAGAGAAGAAAGTAGGGTTTTTTATAGCGTGAGGAGAGGGTCCAGTCCCACGCGCTCACAGTTCCATAATATTTAAATTAGAAGCAAAAGTTTAATCATATTACAGTTTCACCCCACTTCTTTTAGAAAATAAACTTAAACCTTAAAATATTTAGGTGCGGAATTCAAATTTTCTACAAGTATTCATTAATGGAAAAAGTTGAGTTCATTAATACGAAAGGAACATATATGAGAACTCATTTGAAAGGAACATAATATATATATATATATAAATTGAGTTTTCATGAAAGTTTAAATTGGCAATAAAGAAAAGTATTCTAATCAATATATCGTATTTTATTCCAAATAATAAATAATATGTGAATAATATACGAACTAAATCTAATTAAACAATCCGAATTTTGTATAAATCATTGTCCATTCAACTTCACGATGTAAATCTGTGTTTGTGAGATAAAATTATAAGTAGAGGGGCAAAAAATATATGTTTTTCCCTTGTAAAAAAAATAGGTAGAAAAAAAATCTTTTTAAAAAGTTTAAATTAACTTTCTCGTACCTCTTACTCTCACAATTTACTCGCCGTTGAGACGACACGTGTCAGGCAATGTCACATACCACGTCACGCTGGAACTTACGGTTAAAATAAGACTAAACATAAAAGTTTGAACCAAACACGACATGACACGTGGTACGTAACTTCAGCGCTGACGCTGCGGGACCCATATTTTGGTCGTGACTGGATTAATGTGAGATGTTGGTCCTGGGGTCCATATGACAAAATTTCTCGCGCCACGTCGGCAGAAGCTCTTATCTTTGTCCAGAAGTATTGAGAAATTTGGAGAACGGTCTTTCTTTTGTTCATTATATTCGGGGTGTTAAACGAGTCAGCTCACATCGTTCGAGTCTCGACTCGTTTGATTCAGATCGTTTTGAACTCGATTTGTTATATTCGTTTTTTAACGAGTCAGAAAAACTTCAGCTTAGATCGTTCACCAGTTTTTCGATTTGAACGAGTTCCCTAAACCCTAAACCCTAAACCCTAAACCGCTCGCCACAGGCTCCTTAGCCGCTCCTCCACATACTCCAACCTCCTGGGAAAATTTGGATGAATCCGTCAAGTCAAGGTCTGTCCAAGAAGATTGATTTACTGAGTTCGATGGTTGGTTTCTTTCTTTGTTCCAGCTCGGAGTATTAGGGGGAACTGCAGCAAGAGCTTAGCCTTGTGCAATATATTCCCACATCCGAGCAACTTGCTGATATCTTCAGGGTTTAGGATTTAGGGTTTAGGGTTTAGGGTGATATATAATATTTTTTATTTATATTTATTCTAAATTTAAATAAATACTTACAAAATTAATAAAACTCTAATATCATTTAATATTTTCAATTATCATCATCATAATAATTAGGATACTTATAATATCATATAAATAATATGAAAAAAAAGAATATAAAATTGTATTAGAGTTTTTTATATAAATTTAATTTATTTAAAAAAAAAGTTAGCTCGTTGAGCAGCTCGCCAACTCGCCGAACCAGGTTCATTGAACACGTGTTCAATGAACCTGACTCGTTAGGTTCGTTTTTTAATGAACTAAAAAAATCATGGTTCAGATCGCTCGTTTTCTGGCGAGCCACGAGCCAGCTCGCGAGTCGGACTCATTTTGACACATAGACTACAAGTATGGTTTGATGTAATTATTTTGATTTGTATTATATAAGTATATTTGGATTCTAACCGAACAGAATAATATAAAAGAAAATTCATCACTAATCTAATGTGAATTCTTTCAAATTGAATAGTTTACTTTGGAAGTCTGTTTATAATCCGAAAATCTATCAATTTTTTTGTACAATTAAATATTTTAAAGCATCGGACAAGTTCATATAAATCTTTTTCTTTAAATGAAGATTAGAATCTTATCTGAAATTTTTTTTTTACCAATTAAATTACCCAATATTGGATTTGGTTTGAAACTTTCAACAAATGAATGGTTAATATTCGAATATTTTAAACACGTTTATATATAATAATCAAAATATTGATAAAATATTTTGGTGTGCCTATGGCCACATTAATTAAAATGGAAACAAATAATCTATCCTCGGTAACTATGGGCAGGTAGAGCGGCCCATTAGTGATAAATGATAATGCAACACGAGGATAAGTGCGTAAGGCCATTTTGGTTACGTAAGTTGCATGTATTGCATCCATGCATGCATAATCATAACGTTATTGAAATTAAAATAATTGATAATATGTCATTTTCGGAGAATATTAAAAAAGAGAAAGATAATGGTCGTCGGTCGGTTTAGTGCGTTGAGGCCCCAATACAAAAAAAGATCGGTGTTCGAGTTGGCAAAGGCCTACGTGCCCAACTATTCTCCTCTCCATATAATCAAATAAAGACGTCCATAAGATTCACGAAACCATAACCATGGACTGATTTAATTTAATATCTACATAAGGTTAGGTCGCATTTATTCGCTAAAATTAATGAACAAATTTAAAAGAACGACAACGTCTCTATTTCGATAGTCTCTCACACTACGAATGTTTCAATCACGACCATCAAATAAAAAAACTATATAATATCATTTTTCAAGGATGAAAAATGTTATATGTAATTAGTTTTCGTATATTTCTGTCGGAGAATATAGAGAAATATTAGGCCGCATATTATGCATATGGGACTTATCTTTAATCTCAATGTATAAGAGCTCTGAAATAAATTTACAACCGTCCTTCAATTATTTATAACTTTCAACTGCTTTATTGACTAATACTACAATAATGTAACAACAATAATAATGCATTGAATTAGTGTCCGTACATTCCAGCCTATAGTGTCGGACTTATCCTTGGTGGGTAGGCCGAAAATGGTAATTTCATTTGTTATAATCGTTTTTTAATATTCTTATTTAGTTTGAATTCGAACTTTAGATGTGCAGTTTTAGGTTATTTTTCCTTTTTTCAAAATTATTAAAGGCAACTTATCATTTTGTTAACCTCGTTGCTTTTTCTAATTCGCAGAAAGAAATCAAATAAATCAACTTCATCGACTACATAGTCATACATACATGTATGCATATACATTTTTTTTTAACTAGAAAGTTCACTAGATCTTTGATCTGACTACATTTTCCATGTCATGGAACATGAATGCATGCATACATACATATGTGACTTTGTTTTGTATTTTTTTTCTCTTGAGATTTTGTCTTCTTCGGATCAAATAAGGAATATTCACAATTTTAAATTATTTATAGCTTATACTAAGTGTGGCTAGTTAGAATTTAGTTTATTGTTTATCAGGTTATTTTTTATTTAGATTTTACGATTAAAATTTATATATAATGGTAATACAAAAGCTTTTAAAAAAATAAATAATCGGTCCGTATTTTCGTATATCATGTTATTATAATCTATTTACTTTCTATGCATCTTAGGGAATACTAATTTTTTTAAAAATATGTGTTCGGTCTAATTTTTAAAATATTTTGTTATCAACTCTATTATAATAATTATACCCAAAAAAAAACTCTATTATAATTATAATTTTCTTAAATAGAAAAAAATACACAGCCAGCAGCCTACAGTGTTGACTACTTGACTCCATTATGGGCCTGTTGGGTTGGGTGTTGGGCTTAATAAAGACCCGGAAGCTGAAAACCCGACCCGGTTTAGAGAGTCTCCTCGCTAGCGTTCCCGGGACCTGAACGAATCGAACATTGTTGTTTCGTCTCTGCAGAATTTCGATTCGATCTTCGCATCTCACATAATTTTCCCATTTTTTTTTTATCTTTGGAGTTCAAATCCGTATTTTCTCCACATAAATCTTCCTCCGTTTCCGGATTTCTCCGAGGGTCTTCGATCTTTGCGTCGTGTGAGATCGTGAGCGAGGGGGGACCCTGGAAGGGAGGAATTTTGGGGGATTTCGGGAGCCCTAGGGAGCGATGATAACGAGGTCGAATCTAGCAGAGCAGCTGAGAGAATACCAGATTCGATCGAAGCATGATTGGGCTTCCGTCTCCTTCTTCTCATCGACATCGAATTTCTCTTCTTCTAGGTAACAGTTCCATCCTTAAGAGCTCCTGTTGCTCATGTCGGATTTAGGATCTGTATGATCCTGTATGCTTTTTTTCTAATTTGGGGTCTGTATGTTGCTGGCGTTGGTGTTGCCTGCGGGCAACAGAATGTTGGTTCGCAGGAGATGGCTTTTGTTGCGTCGGTTAGGGCTTTGGATGTGGTTCTTGAATTCGCATTTGAAATTTTCTGCATGTGATGTTTGATTGAAAAGGGAGAAGAAGGAAATGTGAAAATCTTATTCGGTTGACTCGTAAACTATGATTAGATCATTCAGCATGTTCTTTGAGGTCTGATTTTTTTTTTCAGTGCATTTAGATGACATCTCAAAGTGAAATTCAAACGAGGAATCATTATTCGCTTGTCACCATCTTGGTTTACTGGGATGACGAGGGACATGTAAGGTGGAAGCTGAAGACATAAAAATGTGGATTTTGATCATGTTTAGCAATTCGATATGTTCTTTGTTCTTCGCTTTCCTTTGAATGTCGATCCCCAGCCCATGCCATGGATAGAGATTCACTGGGAGGACCCTTCTTTTAAGAAAGTTCTCTAAAATGAGAGGAAAATGACACATTTCAGATTTGGGTGAAATAGTGAGTTTAATGTGATCAAGAAACATGAGAAGAAAAATGTAATCTACTGCCATGATGTTAAGTTGGTCGAACTTCTCACCCTTCTTCTTTATCCTTTAGTTTTCGGTTGTAAGATTATCTGCAACGGGCTCTTTGCAAGGAAGAAGCCTAGACAAGCTATTTGCTTGAGGAAATTTGATTCCTTTTGATATTCATTTCAAAGTGTGGCTGCAGTTTTCATGATTATAAAGTAATCTACTGCCATCTGAGTTTTATTTTTCATGATGTTGCTGTGATGCAGGGTGGATGTGGTGGTATTTGTGATATGGGAACTAGTCATCTTAGCATTCTTGGTGTTTTCAGCGGTTTCCTTGTACTTTAGGAGGTTGCAACTCGCTTTCATCCTCGTCTGTATCACCCTCCTTCTTCTCGTCTGCATGAAGATCACTAAGCAAGTCAGATTAGCCCGCAAAAAGAAGCGAAGGATGCTTCTTCCTCTATCTATGTAAGTCCAACCACGAAATTTCCAAACCCTTTTTTTTATCTCTTTTTCTTTTTACCGTAAACCACCCGAACCCCCCTGGTTGAGCTTTGTACCCGTTTGCACGAATGTAAACAACGAAGACTAAAGAATGCTCTGCTCTCGGTATCTTCACTATATGCCCATCGAAGAACAGAAGAAGAGAGAGAGGCTGAAACCACATCCGGGCAACCATAGGGGCTCAGAAGAGTTTCCTATCTCTTGTTAGTGTTTCACTGTGATCGGATTTGGTTCGGACACTAGAGTTTTGTCTGAAGGCTGTTTTAATCTCTAATGTGGTTTGTGAAATTTTAGTTGGTTCTTCATAGATATTGAAAAGGGTAAAAAAATTCGAAACTTTCATCGAATACTCCTGCTACAGCGGTACGGACACCAGTTTGATGGTGGTGATGATGCTCTTTCGATTTGTTTCTCTTCCTTTTATTTTAATTTGTCTTATGGTGCATTAATTTTTTTGGATAATTATTGAATGGTGCAACCCAACCGTGTTATATTGCATTTTGCACAAACGATGAAATGACGAGAGGAAAATATAAATGTAATCCAAATTTGGGTGGCTCAACCACTAAAGGAATGAGGTAAAGCTCTTTTTCCACCTGGTACTCATTTGGGGAGGATATTCACGTGCATTTTTCGGATTTTTTAGAAGATGTGGTCGGATGAAAGATCCGTTGAATTTTTTTATTATAAAATATATATATATATATATATAAATGTACAAATGTAGGGTAATTGCAAAAACATGAATTTCAACAAATTACTGTACGTTGGATAAATAAAATTAAAACATTTTGTTTATAGATAAAAATAGGTTAACGGTAAAATGATGTTTTAGAGTGATTATTTATTTTTTCACATAATTTTATATTAGAGATAGATATTTGGATATATAATTAAATAGTAGACACGTTGCAAGATATTTGTTTTCGTTCTCTATCCATTGGGAAATTAAACACCAAAATTGAGAGAGAAAAAATATCCCTAAAACATGATATCGCTAAATGCAAGCAATAGGAAAAAAGGCATCTGAATTTTCAAAGCTTGGAGGTGGCGAGCTTTATAAGATCCTTTCGCAGAATCTTCCCCGACGGATTCTTAGGAATCGAAGCCACAAAGGCAACCTTCCGAATCCTCTTGTACGGCGCAACCTGTTCAGACACGAAGTCCATTACGCTCTTCTCTGATAGCTTGCTTCCGGGCTTCCGTACGATGTAGGCCATCGGAAACTGCCCTGCCTCCCTGTCCGGAAACCTGCGAATTGTTATCGACAGTTTTTTGGATATTTTTTTTTTGTGTTTTTATTTATACGGACAAAAAAAAACATGAGCGATGAAGTTTGATATTTCTACTTACGGGATGACTGCAGCATCTACGATTTCTTGATGAACAAGTAACAGAGCCTCTAGTTCAGCTGGAGGGACCTGTTCCATGATCATCACCAATTGCAAAAATCATGAGATACCAAAAGTCAGGAATTCACACGTGTCAGAATCAAGCTGAACAAACCCATGTTTATGTGTATATGTATATGTACATGTGTGTATATACACATACCTGGTAACCCTTGTATTTGATAAGCTCCTTCAAACGATCAACCACGAAGATGAATCCGTCTTCATCAAAGTAGCAGAGATCTCCAGTTCTCAACCATCCTTCTGAATCAAGAGTCGAGCTCGTTGCTTCTTCATTACTGAAATAACCTGCCAACGAAGACAGACATATCATCATAATGATCAGACAAAACACAGAAACCATGTCAGAAAATCTCTGCATTATGATCTTTCATCACAAAGTAATCTCCAAACCCGAGAATTTCAGATTCGGATTCGGGCCGAAACCCAGCTTCATAGCACTCGGATTCGAGTTTGGATCGACCCATTTGATATCCTATTTTTTTTATATTTGGATTAAGTTTTTTTTTATCATCTGTTTTTTTATTAAAAAAAATCGGATTTTTGGATTAGCCCAGAATTCGTCTGACTAATCTCGACCAAACCCGATCCCCAAATTGAGCCCGGACCGAAAGTCCAAAATTTTTAGGATCTAACAATTGAAACCAAAACCGATCACGTTTCGGATGGATTCGGTCGGGTTTCGGGTTTGCATCGACACCCAGTGACCCACAAGAAAAAACCCAGAATTTATCTCAGTGGATTTCTGCATCAATCTATACCTTTCATGATCGCTGGACCCTTGAGCCAGAGCTCGCCGGTCTGGTTCAACCCGAGAGCCCGGCCCGAGTCCGGATCCACGATCTTCCCCTCCATGCTCGGCGACAACAATCCGGCGGTTCCGTACCGCCGGCTCTCCTCCAGCGTGTCCGTCGAAGCCCCCATCCCCGTTGACTCGGTCAACCCATACCCTTGAAGAATCCTGACGTTTGGGTACTTCTCCACGAAACCCTCGATCACCTCCTTGCTCAGTGGAGCTCCTCCGCAGAGAATAGATTGCAGCGAACTCAGATCGTACTTGCGCTTGATCTGATCAGCGCCATTGACCATGGCGACCAATATTGGAGGCACGAGTGGGAGATACGAGGCTCGGTATTGTCCGATCGCCGACATCATCTCGTGCATGTCGAATTTGGACAGTATGATGATGGTGGATCCGCAAGCGAGGAGACCCGTCGCAAACGCGGCCAAGCCGTAGATGTGGAACATAGGCACTGTACAGATGAATCTATGTTCTCCTTGGTCTCCGTTTTCAGATCTGAATCGATTAACCACTGTCTGAACCATCGAAATTAGGTTTTTGTGGGAGGAGACGACCCCCTTGCTCGCGCCTGTGGTCCCTGACGAGTACAGAAGAGTCGCCGTGTCATCCTGGTCGACTCGTTCCCTGACTCGGCTCTCACTCGGCCGCTTCTTCTCCATCATCTCCACCAATATCCCCGCGATTCTCGCGCCGCACGTGGAATCCACTCGCTCCTCCTCGTCCATGAGCACCATCGGGAGATCCGCGGCGATTTTGGGGAGGAGACCGGCGGTGGTGAATGCAAGGACGGGCTTGGAATCCGAGATCTGTTTAGAGATCTCGCCGGAGGTGTTGAGAGGGTTGGTGGTGGTGATGATGGCGCCGAGGGACATGACAGCGAGACAGACGACGGGGAAGAAGATGGAGTTCGGTGACAGCAAGAGCACGACATGACCCTTGCGGATACCCATGTCGGAGAGACAGGAGGCGACTGAGTCAACAGACCGCCATAGCTCGGAGAAGCTGAGGTTTTTTCCGGTGACGGCGTCGATGAAGGCGATCTTGCCACGGTGGGCCTGAGACGAGATGAAGGTCTTGATGTCGAGCGATGGATTTGCCGGCAAAGAAACCGGCGGTCGTTTGCTGTAGAACGTCGAATTCGATTTGCAGAATCCGCTCCGAGGATTTACAGACTCCATCTCTTCTTTCTCAAATTTCTAAGGAAGTTTTTGTTGTGTTTCAGAAAATCAATGAACACGTATATATATATATATCTCTGTGTGTGTGTGTGATTTTTTGTACTCCTGATTCAATCCAAAATAGGAAATCTAATTCTATTCAAAGTCTCTTGAGGCACGGTTATGGAAGTTTTAAATCAGGAGTTTGACTGTTTGTCCACGTCGGAGTGGCAGAGGATTTTCTTGGCTTTTTTGTGCACGTGTGTTTTTTAATTAAACCACGTTGTCAAGTGTCAACTATATTTTCAACTGGATTTTAATTATGAGATATTATGATATTTAATTGGATATGATCGAATCTTTGGTAGTAAAAAAATACTTTTGCTCTTCTTTAAATGTTTGATTTGTTTCCTAATCAATTTAGTTTATTCTTCCTTAAAAATACGTTTCTCATTAAGAAACAAATATAAATTTTACCATTAAATAATATATTCCAAAGAAATTTGTTGTGCGTTACGGATTAAAAAAATACCAGAAAGTCGATGATGGAATTCAATCCGACCCGCCCAACAAAAAAAAACAAAAAAAATATCTACGAAAATACAGAGTTGTTTTTAATTTATGGAAAACTACAGGTATTTGTTGACAATTTCTTGTTAGGATAATCACAGGCCTACTGTTGGGCTTTCAATTAAGCTCAGTACATTTATATGAGCCTTCACTGTTGGGCTTTCAATTAAGCTCAGTACATTAATATGGGCCTTGACTGTTGGGCTTTCAATTAAGCTCAATACATTTATATGGGCCTTGACTGTTGGGCTTTTAATTAAGCTCAGTACATTAATATGGGCCTTGACTGTTGGGCTTTTAATTAAGCTCAGTACATTTATATGGGCTTTGACTGTTGGGCTTTTAATTAAGCTCAGTACATTAATATGGGCCTTGACTGTTGGGCTTTTAATTAAGCTCAGTACATTAATATGGACCTTGACTGTTGAGCTTTCAATTAAGTTCAGTACATTAATATGGGCCTTGACTGTTGGGCTTTTAATTAAGCTCAGTACATTAATATGGGTCTTGACTGTTGGGCTTTCAATTAAGCTCAGTACATTAATATGGGCCTTGACTATTGGGCTTTCAATTAAGCTCAGTACATTTATATGGGCCTTGACTGTTGGGATTTAACTTAAACTCAGTACGTTTATATGGGCCTTGACTGTTGGGTTTTCAATTAAACTCAGTACATTTATATGGGCCTTGACGGTTGGGCTTTCAATTAAGCTCAGTACATTAATATGGGCCTTGACTATTGGGCTTTTAATTAAGCTAAGTACGTTTATATGGGCCTTCACTACTGTTGGGCTTAATCAGCTGTTGTCCATACAGAATTGTTCTCGAGGCACCGTCGGAAACCAGCAGAAGCTCTTGTCGACGTTGCAGAGCGAGAAGCTTAGGGTTTCGAAGAGAGAGAAAGAATGGGAGGAGGACATGGCGCAAGTACGACTTACAAGGGGATGACGATCCACCATCCGAAGCGGTGGCACTCCGTCACTGGCAAGGGCATGTGCGCTCTCATGTGGTAATTCCTCCCCTCCCGTTGGTATTCGTAGTATCGGATCTGATCAGGAATTTCTCGTGGATTCTGTATCTGAGTAACGATCCTTGTGAAATCGGGATGGTTTCCGTTTTGATTTGTGTAAACGGGGTAATGATTAGAGGCATTAGTTTAGGGTAGAGGCAATGGGATTTGATTTTGAGTCGAGCAGGATTATGCTATTGGAGGGACTTTATTTGTTTATCTCGATCTGTAGTACATTTTGATTTTCACTGAAGAAATATCTTATCAGGAGAAGTTTCAGCTTGAGTTGCACGAGATTGACTACTGGTTGGGAAAGTGCAGTGCCTAAGAGTGGCCATGAAAATTGAAGCTTTAAGTAAGGTCATTGCTAGAGGGAAAAGGGTTGTTTCTTTTTTCTGGATTCAGAGAATCCTTTGGTATCATTTCTCAGATGTTGACAAGAAGACGTAGAATCTAGTTTTGTTTTATCAAGGCAAGAAATGATGGTGTGAGAGAGCGAATGTCCGCCCTTTGTGTAGTAAACTTGTACATTATCTGTTTATGATGTATCAGAAGTTTTTCAGAACCCTTTAATAACTTAACTATATATTATCTGTTTCTTAAGAATTAAGTGTTTTCAAAACTCTGTAATCAAGATAGTTTTGACGTGGATGATCTATCTTATCTAGATCATAGATTCATAGGGTATAAATAGAAGAAAGAGTTGAGATTTCTGATCTTTTTCTAATTCAACACAGCAGTTGAAGTGGATTTTGTTTCCCCAGAAATTCTGCCAAGATGCTTTTAACCTGATTTGATGTTTCAGGTTCTGGATTCTGTACAGGGCAAAGCAAGATGGTCCTGTAGTATTGGTAAGACTCTGCCCCTTCTGTATTCTTGTCTGTTTTTCCTTCTTCTTTGACCACTAAATTGGTTTATCCTTTTCTCGGTCTGTTAGGGCTGGAGGCACCCTTGGGAGGGCCATGGTGATCACGGTCACGGGGATCATCACTAGGTAATATCTGTCTGTGTCTGGTGGGAGTTGCTTGCATTTTGATATTAATTACAGGTTGCATTAGTCGTGATTCATGCATTATCGTTTAGCTGTTGAAAGATCACATCCATGCACGGTGACGCTGATGATGCATAGTTACTAATGAGATGCCCAGTTGTAGAAACTCAATGGGGGAGTTGTAGCTCACATTCGAGTAAATTCTGATATTTTCTCGTGTCTTTTGTTTGACCAGAGACATCACTTGTGCCACATTGTCTGGGAATTTACGGTTGTTCTTGCTTACAGCCTCTTAGTTGTTCTTATCTGGAATTCACAAAGGTTTTAGAAGCTAACTCGGGTTTGGTATATTGGTAGGTCTACTCGCATCGAAGCCTGTGGAGATCATGGCGAAAAAATGGTTTGTTTCTTGTTCTTTTTCGGGTTCTTGTGTCGAAAATAAAGGATTTGCGAGTTGTGAAGAAGAAAGTACTCTTAATTTGAAGTTCCATTTCACCTTTGTTTATCCACAAAACTTTGTAAGACATTGATACTCTGTTCTTTTTCTTGCATTTCCTTGCTATTGTTCTTCTGGGAATTGAGTTTGAAATAATTCTTACCAGGGGATTTGCAATAATAATTTCCATGAATTTACCTATATTAATGCATAGTGATGTAAAAAAAAAAAGTCTACCAGGTTATGTAAATGAGCATCAATGAATGTAAATGCTCTCATGGGCATACAATTGTGTTGATAATATGAAACCAAGGTTTCTCACTGTTCGTGTTCTAACCGATTCCTCTTCTAAATACACATAATATGTATGCCCATATGTGTGTGTGTGTGTGTGTGTATATATATATATATATATATATATATATATATCTAGTTGGTGAGAATATTAAGAAGTGAAACCCTGGTCTGAATCAGTCGCCGGAAAATGCATTCCAGCTCTATCTCAAGCTCTTCCACGGCTATCTCGGCTGCCTCCAACCTCGTACTTGCGCTCTGCACCGCAGTCTCGTCCCAAATATCGTTGCAATATGAACGCGTCGCGAAAATCGACGACAACGACAGTGGCCCTTTGCTCGATCTTCTCTCTAGCCATGGTATACACACAAGAGAGAACAAGGACTCGACCATTGAAACAATGGCCATTCTAACTTCCTTCAATACCTCTGCGACAAACAGAAGGTTCTGCTCTGCCATTCCGCTTCTGTTTTCGCCGTCTTTCTTCATGCCCTTGAGGCAGTTCAAGCACTTCAATGTCTCCTTCCTCAGCTTGTTACGATACCGATTATAAGCAGCGATCTTCTCGTTGATGTCTGATTCGTTGCCTCGTAGAGTAAGCTGCAGATCTTGCAAGTTATGTTTCACGAGAAAGATTACGTCTTTGGATACGTTACAAATGTCTAACATCCTCAAGGAAGCTTCTGAAACTTCCTCGACCCGTTTCTCTTGTCTATGGTGAGAAAGAGATTCTACGGTTTCGGGTAAGTGAAGGAGGTAGTTTGCGCAGTCATGTAAGTTCCTCAAGGCCTCGAAGTTGATCTGTGCCATGTCTGAACAAACCCTAATCCCAGATCAGTTTAATATCTGTGTTAATGAATTGATCTTGTCCGAAAGGTTGAAAAAGAGTTCCTGTAAACGAGAAAACCAATAGGGATTTGATGGTATGGAGGGAAAAAAAAGGACAAAACTTTATGAATCTCAAAGGTCTGAGATTTGAAAAGATTCAAAAGGGCACTCTTGAATTCACCAAAACAAAGGTGGCAAAGATTTGTGGGAAAAGAGATTGATCGGAGATTGTTAATGGGTTTTTTTTGTTGTTGTTAAGGATGTGTGTAACAATGAGGAACTTGGTGGTTATATAGGGGAAATACAAAGGAATACAGATAAGGAAGATCGTGAAGATGGATCTAAGGAATATGGATGAAAGGAAAGTACGACGAAGGATCCGTAGGTTTTGTACGGACGTGGAACATTTGGGGGACAGATCATTTTTGGACCGTATTAGTATTTATTTATTTATTTATGTAACACTTCATTTTCCGATATATGAATCAAGCTTTTTGTCTCTCGGAACCTTCTCCGTACGTTCAGAGGCACTCGTGGATAGGGTGTTTTGGATTTGTTAAGATTTCGCTGTTTGTTCCATTTATTTATTTTTGTTTTTTTTTCTATAGCATTGTATCGATCGAATTTCTCTTGTCTTACAAATATTTGAAAAGTATATACGCTATATCAAAATTTTCTAATACTATCACTGCGTTCTAAAAAAACTCATTGTTTATGTTATATATTTAAGTAATGAAATACCACATTTTGTCAAAAATAAAATAAAATAAAAACAGTTCTTTTATCAACTGTTAAAAATTGTTGTTTATTGAGTTCTAAAGAATTCATAGATAGATTATTAGAAAAAGAGAATTCTAGTGTTATTAATTAAATGAAAAATACATTAGGCTTTTAATACAATTCACATCATATTAAATCGAATTACCATATTTTGGCAATAGATTTAATTTTAGTTCTTTAAGCACTTTTCCTAATCTATCTAGTTAAATTGACTTGTGTAATATCATTTATTACTAAATTTTATATTTAGACGTACAGTTTATTGCATGAATATATATATATATATATATATATATAGGGCTGGAGGCACCCTTGGGAGGGCCATGGTGATCATGGTCATGGGGATCATAATGATTATGATTTTTTTAAATCTAAAAAACCGAAATCGAACCAAACCGACTAAGAAACTAATTGAAAAACTGATAATTTCGTTGAAAAAAATGATTTCGAAAATTCAATAAATGATACAGAAATTAAGCGGAAGAAAATAAGAGTGATTAGTTAATGGGTTAAGGCATTGAGCAAGGAAACCCTATGGTGGGGGTATCTAAATTGACTATTCGGGAAAGCCATGCATGCACGAGGGTGCGGTGCCAGCCTGTGTGAAATTATCAGGTTTAAAATAATAATAATAATAATAATAATAATAATAATAATAATCATAATAATAATAATAATAATGTAAACTTATGTTTATATAAATGTGTATATAATTCGTGTTTTGTTATTTCACAAGATTTAGGGCGGACTAAGAAACTAATAAATATATCGAGCTTTGTCGTTTGAAGAAGAAACAACGAATATATGAAAAATATCATCAAATAATAATTGAGTTTAATTATGTGCTGCAGAATATTTTGTATGTACGTTAGCTTGTGGGTCTTTCTCATGGCGACAACTATTCAATGCACGACGTAGCTTTGTGATTATATAAGATCCTTAAATCTACGGAATTGTAACACATTATCGACTACATTAGTTTATAATTATATGATTTGATATGCATATTAATTATTTCAAATATACATAATCTGAATCCTATTTTTTTGTTTTTTTAATGAATTTTTTTTATTTTTTTAAAAGTTGATGGGGCAGGTGCCTGATATGCATATATATAAAAATCCACCCATATATATATATATATGTGTGTGTATATATATATATATGAAACTATTTGATTATTTCCCTTTTAATTGAAGGTTTTAGTTATGATCATAATAGTACCTAATTTTAGGCTCACGTAGTCTACCTGCTATGATTAATCTCGAATCTCATATGGTTCATAGACAAATATTGAAATCTTTTTATTAAAAATGGTTATCCATCCAAACCATGTCGCAATTTCTTCACGTAAATGTTCAATATTTATCTTTCCGGGTTGTTGGGTTTCCGGAAAATGAATTTTTTTTATTTAATTTCAAACTCTATACCATGAACAAGAATTGGGAATATTAATATCTTATGTTTCATATTGAACGGACCAAAATATATACATACAAAGGGAGTGGTCAAGTTTGGGATAGGAGCGAGATAACTCCACCTTGAGGTTCAGGGTTTGATTCTTGATTGGTGGGGAGGGAGGTAATTTCTGGATTTATATGATCTATATACAAAGGTTGTTTCCGGACCGAAGGTTTCTCTAGTCAGCGTACCCGGAGGGTAGCATCTAGGGATCCTCCGTTATAAATATAAATATATATATATATATACACACATACAAGAATCTGAATCTAATAAAGAAACAAATTAATGCGAAAAGAAAACGTATCAAATATTTATGTATAGATTGTCATTCAACACAAAATGGGTAATCCATCATCAATTTCTATGAGAAACTTTGGTTGCCTAAATTCGAGAACTTATTATAAAAGATCAATTGATTACACAATATACATCGATCTCTCTCTACTCTTTTCAGTTTCTTACAAATCTATTTTTCACATTACATCTTCACAAAACTTGTCATAAATTACCTCTTAATATATATATATATATATATCAATAGGTAAGCATGTTAAGGAGAGAAACCCTAGTTTTCACCAACTTCCTATACACACATTCCAAATCCAATTCTATTTCTTGGATCTTCGCTCCTCTTTCTTTCAGTTTCTGCAACTCCACAGCGGCCGGAACGTTTCCTCTCTTCAGCCTCTCCAAATCATCAGTCCCCATTAATCCGATTTCATCTCTTTCTCCTTCTTCTTCGCAATCAAAATCCTTCGGATGAAACATCTTCGACACGAATCCTCGGCCTTTATGATTCTCCGACAGAACAGACAACAAGAACACTAACACCTCAAAGCTTTTCTCTTCTACTTGTTTCAGGACATTACTGTCGCGCCCTAATCCCTTCTTCTTCCTCTTCTTGTTCTTGTCGTTTCTCTTCGTCATTTGTTTCAAATCTCTCTCGATCTTTCTTCTCAGAGAGCTTCTCTTCGCCGTATAAGCGTCGATCTCTTGCGCCACACAGGCATCTCCCAGCTTGTTTCTTCTCCTCAAGGTGGATTCGAGTTCAGCGACATGTTCCTTGACCTGCAAGAAAACGTCCCTGGCTACGCTGCAGATGTCAAGAACCCTAAGGAATCCGTCGGAAACGTCTTCCAAATCGGTAGAAGCTTCGTGGGTCATCGACAAATGGAGGAAATCGTGGAAAACATCGTAAAGATTCTTCAGAACTCCCAGTTTCCGACACACGGACCGTGATTGAGTCAATTCCAGGAGATGATCTTCGATAGCTCGAGTCAGTGGGTGAACATCTTCTGGCCAACTTGAGGATCGAATATGCGAAGCAGAGGTCGAAGCCATCAATAAAATTTTGTTGAGTGTAGTCTGAATTCTCGGGGGTAAGATTGAGAGATTGGTCAATACATAGGCTCTTATATACATATATACATATATATATATACAGGTGTGCGTATGTGGATTTGTTTTCTTGCATATACATGGAGATAGAGACGGATTAGATTATAGATAAATATACAGCCTGGAATTGGCTGTGCTGAAAGACAGAAACTGAGTTTCTTCAGACAGATCTCGTGGTTGTTGGAGGTGAACTGCATCTGATCGATATAACCACACATACACCAAGAAAATCCATAATTAACAATTAATTACGAATGATAATTAATGCACCTTCCTTTACGATTTTTTTTAGTGTTATGCTTTCTATTTCTATCTATATCGTCTCATCGATTCCATTCCACCTTCTTACGATCATACTTTCCCCCCTCTTGAAACCATGAATCTGCAACCCATGAACACGTATGGAAACAATAGCATAAAAGATAGCATATTATTCCCTAAACAACGGATTATATATATATATATATATATTACGGGAAAAAATATTGTTATATCCTATGAATATTTTCTTGGCTGATAATGAAAAATGAACGATATTAACCAATTATATTTTTGTCTATAAAATTTTCCAATAATTTTATCCATTTCATAATTTTATGATAGACGGTTACTCAAAATTTGATGGTTATATAGTGATTAATTACCAATTTTTTTTTTATGGTTGTATACATTTAAAAAAAACATATAAGGGTGTATATTGCATGTATGTATGTATGTATGTATGTATTAATGGTAAATGGACAAATACACGTGCGCCATCATGAAAACGAAAGGAAGAAGGGTTGGCTATATCTGAGTGGCAATAACATATCATATATGTCTATCGCAAAGTGGATATATCTTATTTGCAATAACATATAATATATAATATAAGATCCTAAATTAAAACAATATTATATGATGACAAAAATGGCAATGTGCACGCACGGAGAGAGTCCAAATGTGTAACGAAAGTTCCTGTCGCTTCCAAATTACGAGAGAAAAAACGTCATACAGCCTGTAACACACACATATATATATATATATATAGCGCAAAGATTAATTATTGGAGATAATATTAATTACGATAATTAATTATCATGGTTTTGTGATAATCTTGGTTTAAGAAAAAAACGGCTGCTGTTTTATTATAAATACAAGCAAACCTAACCATGTTGCCTCCTAAGGTTTCATTTCTTTAACACGTTGTGGGGAAAAGGCATGCATTGGAATGTATATATATTGCTTTACTGTATTAAAACTAATATTACTGTATTACATAAAATCATTTTTTTTTCTTTTCATGCACCATATTTAAACGCATATTTAAATTTAATCTAAGAAAGAGCCACTCCAGATTTAATTTATCATATAAAAATAGAACTATATTTCGTTAATTATTATAAATAATGTTGTAGAAAATAATAAAATAATTTCATCTATGCATAAACATAACTTAATAATAATTTTATATATATATAGATTGGTTAATAACTTGTACATATATGATTTTTACTATTTGGTTGCTCCGTTCCGATAGTGGGTTTTTCTAATTAATAAATATAACATTAAATGCAATTCAAACAAGTTGCATTGGAGAACATCAAACTAATTATGGAAGTGTCTCTGTCTCTCTCCTAATCCCAATTATTTTCAAATCTGACCTAACTTTATGCCGGTAATCATCTGTTCGATTGCAGCATGGTCCAAATGGATGATAAAACCATATATTGTTTGTGGTGTATTAGTATATATTGAATTTACCGAGAAACGATAAGAAACGTATAATAAACCGGCTAAATTCCAATCTAAACCGGATAAACCGGCTAAATTGCGTCAGTCACAAGAAACACTACACGTATCGGTTAATTAAGTTTAAATCCCTAGTGATTAAGAAAGATCCTTCGGTATGATTATTTATAATAAACTAAGGCGGCTAGGGTTTTTGGAAAGATAAAAAAGGAAAGTTTGAGATATAATGAATGCAAACAATCGGGTTGGTTTTGATTAGTTAACCCATAATTTGGGTTTTGTTTAATTAGTTGGAAGCAATCTCTCATGTTATAGCATGGTAGCTAATCCATTAATTAATTAGATCATAATCTGATACAGATCAATATCACAAAACAACCACATCCCTAACGAACCATGTGATGGATGATTTGGGGTTATATTATTGATAATCCCACATCAAATATATATGGACAAGCACTGCGGGAATCCATCAACGTTCAAACTTACAATCCTCAAAGTTTAGGGTTTTTGTTTTCGGGACAAATATATCTGTTTAGATTGCCCGATATATTTGCTACATATATTTTTAATGTCAAGACAGTGACATAAATTTTTTTTGGGTATATCGTATATCCGGTTTTTGGAAAAATATTATTTCCCCACTAATTAACCGATCATATGAAAATTTTAGAACATATCTTTTAGGGGCTAATCCCACAAAAAAAACTCCAAATTTTTTAAAATGTTCCATATAAAACCCTCAACTTACAATCTCCCACAAAAAACGCTGAATTTGGTAAAAACTTACACAAAAATTACAAACTTACAATTTTCTTCCATATAAAATCTTTGACTTGTTTGACCAACAATTTTGCTGACGTGACACGACGGATTGATGATATGGCACTGACTGAGTTGATACGTCAGTGCCACGTCATCATTTTAAAAATTTAAATATAAATTTCTAATTTTTGGTCAAATATATATACATATATATATAAGTTATATATATCGTCGCAATTAACCGACTGAATTTGAAGTTTGAATTTGGGGTGAGACAGACGATTTGCACCCATTTAACCGGTTGAACTATCCGAATTTGGACAACTTAATTATTATAAGTTATATATATATATAAATATCGTACCAAAAAAAGGTATATATATGTGTGTGACCTAAAATTATATTTATATACACTTAAATGCATTAACGAATCTAGGTTAGTAGTATTGGGTTATATGATCCGGTCCTTTTAAAATTATTTAAAATTATTTTTAACATTTCTTAGATGGCTTTAAAAAGTTTTAATATTTTATTTGGATTTTTGGGTGATTTGGATTTAAATAAATGTTTTTTTAAAGATAGGAGTTTTTTGGATTTTTTTAAAGATTGGAAGTTTATTTAGATTTATGGATAAATGAGGTTTGATTGGAATTTTTTTATTCACTGTAATTTTTTTATTTATAATAAATCCATTTATTGAAAACAAACACAAATAAACCAAAAAATGATACAGAAATTAAGCGGAAGAAAATAAGAGTGATTAGTTAATGGGTTAAGGCATTGAGCAAGGAAACCCTAGTGTTAATCAAGCTCCTAAACACTTTCTCGCTCCCACATTCTATCTCACACATCGAATTCTCCAACTCCGCCATCCTCTTCATCAAGTTCTTCACTTCTTCATCTTTCTTCTTCCTCAATCCAACCAAGCTCTTCTCATCCACCTTCTTCATCTCCTCTATTCCTTCGTCCTTCCTCTCCTTCTTCTCCGACCTCTTCAGAAATCCGACGAACGGCGTCGTTCTGGCTTGACGGAGCGGGAAGTAGACGCCGTCAAAGAGAGCGACGGAGACGGAGACCGTTACCTCGATGACGTCACCTATGGCGGACGCCAGCTCAGCGTCCGCGTACGATCCGACCCCGCCGACGTGGCAGCAGTACTCCTGCTTCGTCTTTGGCTCGCGGATCGATGACGTCAGCCTCGCGATATCCCGCGCGATATTTTGGCGAGATTTTAGGTAGTACGAGATCTTGGCGTCGTCTCTCTTCCTGAGAGCGACCTGGGCGGCGGAATTGTGCTCGCGGAGTGATAGGATGGAGGTCTGGAAAATTCCGTAGGCGTCGACGAATCGGAGGAGATCTTCTAGAAGGTTCTCGAAGAAGATCGGGCGTTTTCGGAGCGATTCCTGCGACTGCGGGAGGTGGAGAATGTCTGAGAGAGTCTCGTGGACGTCCTTGAGTAGGCTGAGACCGTCGGAGATCCAGGCGGAGGTGCAGCTGAATCCGGCGGAGAAGGAGGACCATGATTTGAGCTGAGAAATCTCATGGTTGATGTGGGAGATGAGGGGATGAGATCGGCAGGGGAGACTGATGGATCTAGTGTGATGGGATATCCGAGGCTTCGACGGCGGAGGAAATGGACGGCCGGTATTTGGTTTGTTCGGGAAAGAGAGAGATCGCCGGAAAACGCCCACCATTCCCGGAGAAGATAAGGGAGAGAGAGAGAGAGAGAGAGAGAGAGAGAGAGAGAGAGAGAGAGAGAGAGAATTTGAATTTAATTTGAATGATTGTGAAATGGCGGATACAAGGAAATGGGAGGCGTTTATATACACACGCGAAGTATTCTACTTATATTTCATACTTATATATCTTAATATAAGATTTTTATACGTAACTAACTATATATTCGCTTATAGACATAGTTAGTATTGCTTCTTCTTTATATTGCTAATGTAATTAATGAATCCAATTACAAAATAATTTATCGAAATAACTTGTTGTGTATAATGACCAAAGGAGATAAAATATTTTTGAAACTTTATTCCAGTCTAAACCCTAAACAGTAAAAAAAGAAAATTGTTATTTTAACTACAGCTAATTGATATAGATTAATTTGATTAGCTGTTTTAATTAAGTTATGTATAGTAATCGACAAAAATCAAAGACATGTCGCGTGATTTCATGCAAGCTCAAGGGAAGTGATTTGTCGTGATTAAGAATTAATCAAAGGATCATTAGCTGTTTTTAAACTCAATTATATGTTCCATTTCAAGCGGAGAGGGAACACACGTGGCTTTTCCACGTTAGCCTTCTGCCTCTCTCGATGTAATAAAAATGGGTTATATTATGTCTTTTTAATTAGTAGATTATGTTCATATAAATACTCGGGATTGGAGATTTAATTATTAATCTTATCTTAATTTGTTTTCAAATAGGCTATTCGGAAGGACGCGTCAACCCACGTTGCTTTGACATAATTATCATCATTAATTATTACTCCCTCGTTTTAGTTTAATTGACATTTTAGAACAATATTTTTGTTTCAAAATAAATGACATTTTCACATTTTTTGATATAATTTTTAATAATTTTCCAATTTTTCTCTAATTAATAATATTTAAATGTTTTGCATATTTAAAAATAATAATTCTCTATGTAAGGTTATTTTGAATAAACTTTTTTTTTAATTTATGTGTTCAAGTGTTAAAAAGACATCTAAAATGAAACGGAGAGAATATATATTTACTCTTTTTTTTTGGTGGTGTATTGTTTACTTCACTCTACGTAAGGAATATTTAAAATGAATAAATGTCTTAATATAATTTTTTTCCGAAAATAGATTTGGAATATGATTTTTCTTTTCTTTTGTTTGATTGGGAAATTGTTCTTGACTATATTTAATTGGCTATTTCTAAAATAATATATTATGGCATAAGTGATCGTTCTTTTTTTTTCTTATTTGAGCAGTAACATAAAACTGCATGACAATGTCAAATCATATTGTTACATTTATAATTAATTTCCATTTAAATTCTTATTAACAAAATATATAGATTAAATCTAGATACTTATGATGAACATATATAATACAAAAATCACCTTATAACATGGTGGGGTGTAATTAAATCTATTAATAAGATCTTTTATAGTAACTTTGAATAAAATAATGCCATTGTTTTGCATTAAAATAACCAACTCTCTGATTAATGTCTACCAAACAAAATTATGGAGAAGGTGAGCTGGCCACGTGTCAGGGTACAGCTCCATCTTTGTCTTAACGATGAAAAAGAACATGCTTTCCTGTTCCACACAACTCTAATTTATTGACTAAATGAGAGATTTATTCTAATCGATAACTGTAATTAATCACTAATCTTTAGATAATGCAACCGTGTGGACTTTAAACTCGAGTTCGCCTTAGATCCGTCTGAGTTTTTTTTATTATTATTATTGTGATGTATAAATTAAGAAATTAATGCCTATATTAAAAAAATATATTATAGGACATAACTATTTATGCAAATGTAAATCTAGTGTCCCGCCTAACGAACTTAACGGACTTAAAATGAGAAAGACGGTATTGCCCTTTAGCTCGTTTTAAACCCAGCTTAAAACCTTCTAAACGAAATCGAGGATTTCCCTGTGTCGGATTGTTCTTAAGGTTCATTACGATAATGTTTTTTTTATTTTATAAACCATTACGATAATGTTCTATGTGATTGGTATGGGATTTTCATATAGTATTTTGGTTATTCGTTAATATTTATTCACAAGAAAGTTTTAAAAATATATAGATTTTCGTAGAATGATTTAGATTGTAGTTTCGTTGCTTTAATTCGATGTATTAGTGACGAAAAAAATAAATATTATAATCAATCGGAGTTTTTGCATTTCTTTATTATAGCTATCACGTGATATGCCGGGGCAGAGTCACGTGAGCTGTTCGATATGTGCATGAGTCGCCCAATGGGTAGTACAAAAAAACATCATTTACAGATACAAATATAATTTATTAACCGACTAATCATAAAAAATATAAAAATCTGTAAAAAATTTGCATTATATCACAATTATAACATTGGATATATCATTTTGGAATTTTGTGCCAAATACATTCGACATATGGATGTATCATATATTTCAAAGAGAAGATTCAGTTGTCCTACTTGTAGATTTGTATCGTATATTAATCATCATTTTTTATCTTTAATTTTAATAAATATCATTGATGATTGTATCAATATTTTATATGATTCTGAAATTTAATTTAACATCAAAACAAATCTATTCCATACGAGTCTAATTTTTTTTCGATCTTCATCATTGTCTAAATACAAGTATTTACAATACTCTTTATAAAAAATATATTGTTGTTCCATTTTTTTTTTCTTCTTGGTTTCTGTATTCTTTTGTTCCGAGCTTCTCTTTTCCTCCACTTTCCCTCACTTTCTCACCATCCAAACACCAACCCATACGGATTGGGCTTTTGTTTTCATGGGCCCATTATATAGAATCATAATGGGCTTTTGTTTTCATGGGCCCATTAATATAGTTGGCTCGAAAGTGGAAATCGTCCGGCGAGGAAAATGTCGTCCTCGGGATTTCTCGTCTGCTGCTTCTTCTTCTTCTTCTTGCTCTGCTGATCTTCTTCGAATCTCTGACCAGCTCCGGAGGCAATGCAAGGAGGATCTTCAGGGATCGGTTACGGTTTGAAGTATCAGGTAGGTTCTGCATCTCCTTCTCGAGTTGCTCTTTTGAAGCTTCTTTCATGGCGGAATCTGTTGGTTGTGCAGGCGAGATGTATATCTGATGTGAAAGCAGATACGGATCACACCAGTTTCCTCACCGGAACCCTAAGTCTGAAAGAAGAAAACGAGGTGATCTGTCTCTTTGATCGTGCTTATCTCCGGATCTGTTTCTTTTGGATTGAATCGGGGAAGTTTTTGAATTTCCGTTTATCGTATTTGGGGAGAAACGTTAGGTTCATTTGCTTCGTCTGTCATCTGGTGGATCTGAGCTGATATGCGAGGGCTTATTTTCGCATCCTAACGAGATATGGGACCTCGCTTCCTGCCCTTTCGATCAGCGCATTTTCTCCACAGTCTTCTCCACTGGTAATTCTTTTACTAATCAAGCTGCTATTTTTGAGCTGATTAGTAGCAAGAAACTTGGGTTCCCTATCAATCCAATAAGTTGCCCAAAATTTAGTCTTAGATAGGTTGAATCGGATATTTCCGTCTGATTAACTCTATGCAGCAGATCGAGACAGAACAGCATGAGGAATCCTTATACTTGTAATCTTGTGCTCATTTTTGTGACGTGAATGCTTGTAGCATTCTTCAGAGGAAGCCAGACTGATAGATAACAATGTGTGAGAATGTTGCATATCGGCAGATGACTTTTGATAATATCCACATAGGGCCGTATCACTGGCATGATAAATGCCCTGCCCTGCGTATGATTTCATTGGCACACATTTAGCTGATGTTTGATTTCATCAAGACGTGTTCAAAGTGACCACCTACTATCCTGAAAATATCAGTCAATTCATTTTTCTCTATGCGGTGAGTTATTGAAGCTTGAATTTGCCTAAAAGTCTCATACCATCTTTCTTACTGTTCAAAGGTGAATCGTATGGAGCTGCAATATGGCAGATACCTGAGTTGTATGGCCAGTTGAGTTCTCCACAATTGGAGCGTGTTGCTTCTCTTGATGCACATGTTGGTAAGATTAATTGGTGAGTTCACGGGTTTTCGTTTCAGCAGTCTATCTCCTGTGTGTGAGTTTGACCTAAGAGGAGGATTAAAAGATACTTTCCTGAAGAGAATTTCTCTAGATGTTTTAGGACTTGGTTCTTTCTTACCCACGTGTTCATTGGGACTCTCTCTCTTGTGGAATCAGCATTCTTTGGTGGCCCTCGGGAAGATGTGATAAGTTAATCAGCATGGATGAAGAAAACCTTTTCTTGTGGAGCTTAGATTGTTCAAAAAAGACTGCTCAGGTGATATATTTATGAGGATATTCAGAGCCTTTTTGTTCTTTCCTCAATCATTTTTGTGCTTCTCAATCCTCTTAAGAAATTTTCTGCATTGTAACCTCACGCTGAATATAGGTTCTGTCAAAGGAGTCAGCTGGTATGCTGCATTATTTATCTGGTGGAGCATGGAATCCACATGATGCGAATGATGTTGCTGTGACTTGCGAATCATCTGTCCAGTTCTGGGACTTACGAACTATGAAGTAAGTATCATTGTTTATCTCCTATATACCCATGGAAATTGATATTATATAGTGCTGCATACCGTGCTTTCACATTTTGATAAAACTCAATAACATGTAATCTGCGCTCATGTTACTGTATTGGTTTCACTATCAAATTCCCGTTAATTGGTTAACAACTTATGTTTTCACGTGTTCGTATGTGTTTTGCTTTATTGTTTTGGTTCCCATGTGTTCAGGAAGGTTAATTCAATTGAGCGTCCCCATGTCCGCAACATCGATTACAACACCAAGAGAGAGCATATACTTGTAAGATTAAACTCTCTACACGAATAATTCGAAGTAATCTGTTGAACACCGCCAAAAAGACGATGTCCTCTTTTAAAGGAACAACAAAGTTTATATACATTTTGATTTGACCTGTTTATGTGTAGGAAATAATTGTTCGATTTCTAGTGTCCTGTTTTTTCAACTTCGAATGTCTCGAATGTTGACTGGTTTGAAAATGGAAATACCATGAAATGTTTGTCGTAATGCATTGAATTCTCCTCGATTGTGTAGATCACTGCAGAGGATGAATCTGGCATTCATGTATGGGATCTCCGGAAGGCTAAGGTTCCTGTCCAAGAGCTCCCCGGCCATACACACTGGTAGTTTAGTCCTGTTTTTGCCGAAGATTTGTTTTTTCCTTTCAGGATGCTGATGCAATGTGGTCTGAGTGATTCAACTTAACTTTGTGTCTGAACATTGATCATAGTTCCTGTTCTCAAATTTTGAAGGACATGGGCTGTGAGGTGTAACCCTGAGTATGATGGGCTAATTCTGGTACTATATCTTCGTCATAATTTGTGCTTTTTACCGATAATGGACCCATTTCTTCATTTTCCCAAACGATGCATCTGCTTTCTCTCGATATCCCTAATTAAAGTATCGGTCTCTGATTAAATCGGGTAAATACAGAGTGCTGGAACGGACTCGGTTGTCAACTTATGGCTCGCTTCTACATCTACAAGCGACGAAATTAGATCAGAAAGGTATCATTTCTCTCCTTCTTGCTCCCATATATTTCTCATTTTCTCCCCTCTCGAATTCGTTTGATCATATTCTAACGCCTCTTTGTATCGCTTTTTGTCAGCCTGATGGGATTACCCCGTCAACGTGTAAACCCATTGCTGAATTCATACACCGACTATGAAGATAGTGTGTACGGTAAATTCTTTTCCGCCGTTCTCGTCTTAACTATAATTAACCTTATCACATCCTTTTTCGATTAAAATGACTGACGGGATGTGCTTTACATTCACAGGCCTCGCCTGGAGCTCGAGGGAACCTTGGATTTTCGCGTCTCTGTCATACGATGGGAGGGTAAGAAGACCATCACACAGTTCTAAACTGAAACCATGAGACATACTTGTCTGTAGAAATCTTAAACCATCTTCACAGACAGAATGTCTAAAGAGAATGTTAAAAAGAGTTGAGGTCTGGGCTGATAATATATTGTGTATGACAATGCGTTGTAGGTCGTGGTTGAATCCGTCAAGCCTTTCCTGCCGAGAAGATAGGTTCTTGCTTCCGCGCCATTCGTCCGCAGCTCTGGTTATCTTTTGTATCTTGCGCATTTTATTTTGGGCTGACCCTTTTGAATCCACGACTCCTTGAGAATATCAATATCTGTGTTGCGTTTTTCATATATTATTTTACAAAAAAAAGTTTTATATATCAAGCAATCTATACATTTTAAAGGGGAAGATCCAAACACCCACCACGTAATGAGGGGAATTTAGACATCAACTACTGCGAAAAAAAGTATGTGCATAGATTTATTCTATTTGATTCGATTCACATAATCTTATTGAAATTGTGCAAAGTGTTAGGAACCTCATTACAAAAAAATTACATAGTTTTTACTCTATTTTATCACCACCCTTTTGGTGCCATATTTGTAGACTGGACAATAAAACGATACGCAATTGATATATATATATATATATCGATCTGTGATGGCATTGCAGAGGAAACATACTCTGTCGTATTCCCCAAATATGAACAAAGTCAGTGGTAAACGAAGCCCCAAAGCCATGAAAAATTTCCCCCTTCCAACATTCCATACTCTTAAACCTCTGTTCCGAAATCACAACCCTTTCTCTGGCTTACCAATTCATCTCCGGCCTACCTACATGATCCTAAATTATTCCATCGTCTGAAAAACTTCGTTCCTAAAATATCAGTCCCGTCCTCGTAGCACCTTTTTCTCCATCTCAGCCGCGGGTCGGGTCTATGTACATGAAACTTTTGATGAAACATGATCACAACAAGGCTTAGCAAAAAGGTTTGGTTTGGAAACCCACAGGGCAGAGAGCAGTGTTGGAAACGCTTGAAAATGGAGATCTGAATCAACTAATCCGAGAGCATTTCTTCCAGCTCCGGCTCGTCTGATGAGGACGGATCGTCGTAATCTAATCTCGTCCCGTTGTAAAGTCCTCTGTCCTGAAGGTCGGTTTGGTCTTCCTCGTCATCTGGCTCTGGCCATTCCGGTTCATCATCATCTTCTTCTTCTTCTTCGTTCATAGTGTCTTTTGGCATTGCCTTGTTTGCTTTACCACGTTTTCTCGATTCTAACTGGGCATTTGCCTTGGCCTCGTTATCCTCACATATGCACGTCGATGGGTTCTCGTGGAATTCGCCTCTTCCGGGTCTTACTTCCTTAGGCTCTCCCATGAATCCCCTCTGATGGCTACGAACTCTGGAGGAGAATTCCTCCCAAGTCATGTTCTCTCTGCTGAGGAACAGCCTGTAAAGCTTTTTGGCATTTGGTCGAATTGTGGGTTTATGTCCAAAATATCTCCTGCATATTATAAGATCAAAGCTTTATCCATCGATTTCATCAAATAAACGAATCAAAAGGGTTTCAGTACCTCCGCCCGGCTAATATTCTCGCCATGTTGCCATTGTTGTTGGTGACAAATACATCGCTCTCATCACAGGCGAGGAAGTCAAGTGCAGCCATTCGGGAAGAATACGACGAAAAAGGCTCCAGCTCCTCCTTAGTAGCTATAGTCTCTTTCGAATAGAAGTGCGGGAAAAGAGCTTTCAAGGGTGCCAATGACTCTTCTCCTCCATATACTTCACCTGATGCCACATATATATGAACATCACTACCATATCCCAAAGCTCTAAGCATAAGACCGACCTCTTCTGGAGTGAGAGGACATCTTCCCTGCCGCCTCTGTTTATCCGGGTCATTTACCTGCAAAACATTTGTAACAATAATTAATAATAACAGTACAAAATGTCAAACCTTCCCAAGCACAGCGCAACAAGATCCAATTTCGCAAACCACACGGAATTACATGTAACGTTTTCCATCTCCGTCTTATTGCTCCCAGTTCTCTTTTTTCCTTCACGCCCCCGCCATAGTAGCATCCTGAGAACGCAAGCATATCAGGTTCAAACCTGCAACAAGGTCAAGCGTGGTTTCCTATTCATTCCTTGATCAAAGAAACTTGAATACCAGACATTTCTTACTAATTCAAATTTGAAATGCAAAGGTGTTAATGAACTGTACGATCATAAATGCTCACATATCCAACCCACCCATAAGGTTCACAAGCATGCAGCTCTGCATTTACATAGTATAGATATGACCATATGAGCATCGACCAAATGATGTTTGGAGAACCAAACGAAGGCCTTTCTCACCTATGATGGTTCTGCTAAATGGTTACACTTGCTACAGGCTCTGTTCTTGGTAATTTCTTGGGTTTCCATAATATTCTAACGACGAGAATGCCCTTGCTCACACAAAACGTAACAGTGGGGAAGAAAAATCACAGCATGAAGATGAACAGATTACCTAAGGTGTAAAGCAATATAGTGTTTGCTTCTCAACCTCATGCGTCGGACCAATTCGTTGCCCATTCTAAGAATAGGATCAGTGAACTTTAAAGCGTGATAATTCACTCTACATCTTAGCTTCTGCAATTGATCACTCAACTTGTTCGAAAGTCTGTAGTCAAATTTGTCGAGTTGAACTGCCTGAAACAAGATAAACAACACAATCATATGATAAGAAGATGATGGTATTCAAAGGACGCTAGTCTCTCCTGGTAGAAAAGGCTCTAGTTCCATTTTGATACCATCATAATGTGAACATTGACATAATGGCAATCAAACCCATAAAATTATCGTACAGAAAGCAATGGAATGAAAGACCAAAAAACTTGCGCAAACGATTTCGGGAACGTAGTTACAAGTGAGAGACGAACTTATTGTACAACACACACCATACTTGATGCAATATGCAAAAGTTTTAGAGAAGTGGAAAACTTACATGCCTTTTGTGAAGAACGGGCAATACCCGATTGATATAACATTTCTCATTACATTTCCTTGGCACACGCATTCTGCTTGGACTCCAGGTTCGTCCCCCTTTGTTTGGAAGTTGCTTTATAATTTTAACATCTTTCGAAAGAAATGTTATAAACCAATCCACATCAAATATATCCGAGAAATCGCTGTAAATAAAGCACAAAATATGTGTTAGAAATGAAAAAAAGATTTCTGCACTTCATAGAGAGAGAAATAGCGTAGCTTATTCATTTTTGAACCTGGCATCTTTCCAATAGGACTTCTGGTCCAACTTTGGAATAACAAGAGTCACATTTAGAATTCGGGCGGCAACAACAGCATCCACAATCTGAGAAAGGTATGCATGTTAAACTTAGAAACAGATATAGAACAACTTACTAACGAAATGCATGAAACGGCGAAACTGCAAAGCAGAGGGGAAAGGATGAGTGTCCAAGATGATGAGAAGATCCAAGCAAATGGTACAAAGCTTAAACAAAGAAAAGATTCTTACTTTCCTCATAACAAGGAGCAAATATACAGTAAACTGCTTACAAATATCATGGTCGCAAAGGAAAATCTATGGAAGCTGATGAGAAGAGATTTGATCCAAAGAATGACCAAATTTCGCGTCTAAATGCAAGAAAAGTGACTGATGGAACACGATAAGGAACTCACTCCGGTCCGCTGTTGATTCAAACCACCACTTGTGGCAATTCCCAAGTATCGATCATTTCTCGTAATGGCTTTGGCATCTGCAACACAAATCAAGTTTCACATGACTCCTGGTTCCATAACCTAATAGTTATAATGTCAACTTCAACAAAACATCGTGCAGGATCACAATTCAAAATCTCCTACTCCCTGGGGATGATGAAAACCTATAACTGGTCATGTTCAACAATATCACGAATAACTAAAATATATCGCACTCTCTAATCCATTTCTAATTCAATATAAAAAAAAGTCGAAAACTTGACATACTTGGGAACTTGCTGCTCGCATTGCTGCATCCATGGAAGAATTCAGCATTCCGCGAACGCCAAACATCACGATCCGATCTCCCTCCACCTCTCTGCCGGTTAAAAACACAATCCAAACAGCATCAATGGAAGACGCAACAGAGATCCGCCATTGTCACAAACATTAGCAAGCACTGCTCATATCCATCAATCAGTGGAGAAAAAAAATTCAACTTCGCAAGGAATTAAACCCTAACCGGAACCCAGAAAGCCGGTGCTCTGTCGCCATCGTAACCTTCAACATTAATCTACGGCAAAACAAAAAATCGAAAATCACACACTTTAGAACAACAGAGAAAAAGCTCAAACTCAGAGCGAGCGAGCGAGCGAGATAGATAGAGAGAGAGAGAGAGTACGGAGGTGTGGTGACCGCGAAAAATGCGATCGGAATCGCCGAGAGGAGGAGCGAGGAAGGAGAGAAGAGCGAAGAGGAGGAGGAGAGCACCGGAGACGACGGAGACGAGTGGGAGGAGACGGCGGAGACGGTGGTAGTAGTGGTAACGCCGCCGATGGAGAGCCATGGGGGCGGCTCCGCCGCGCCAACGCCACAC